GCTGTAGCACATTTTAATTAGTTAGTTAATTAATTAATTTTGCAGTCCCAGGAATTGAACCTAGGGCCTTAACATGAGGAGCTGAATCCCCAGCCCACATTTTATATATTTTTTAAATTTTGAGACAAGGTTTTGCTAAGTCTCTGTGTTGCCCAGGGTGGGCTCAGATCTTCAGCCCTTCTGCCTCCGCCTAACAAAGTGCGAGGATTACAGGTGGCCACAACCACACCTAGCTCATCCTAATCATTTTTAAATGTATAGTTGTATGGCATTAAATGTAGCCACATTGTTGTGTAACACAATCACCACCATCCATCTCTAGAATCTTTTTAAAACCTAAACTCTGTACCTGTTAAACTCCGTACCTCCCTGGAATTCACTATACTTACTTATCTGTGATTTTGACATCAGGTACCTCATGAAAGTAGAATGGTAAAATGTTTTTTCTTTTATGACTGTCTTATTTCATTTAGTATAATATCTTCAGACTTCATCCATGTTGAATCATGTGTCAAAATTTCCTTTTTTGGGGTTGCTTAATATTCCGGTATTATGTGTAGGATTACATACCTGTAATGTGTGTCTATTCATCTGTTGACATTTGGGTTACATCCACCTTTTGGATTTTGTGAATAATGTTGTTATGAACATGGCTTTGCTCAGACTCTGTATCTTTTTATGTAATTCATTAAACTTTCACCAGGTGCAAAAGACTTCTTGCAAACCCTTTCCATGATAGTTCCTTTGGTGGAGGTGCTCACTGTTTTGTTTTCACTCATGAAACCATGGCTACAGGCAGAGTATGATTAAGATGCCCAGTGGCATTGCCAGAATCTACTTTTAAATTTTCGGTGATCATTTGCAAGATACAAAGCCATGGGCTGTTCTAGGAGCACAGCTGAACAGAAGTCGAGGACTTGCTGAGCAGTGGCATCACTGTCTGCCTTTGCAGACAGATTGCTCTCCTCTTGGACAAGTCGAGTCTGAAGCCCTGGCTCATGGAGAGGCTGTGGCTCCCATCTGTGCACTGTGGGGACAGTGGGAAAGAACTGTTATAGTTAAGAACAAGGGAATCTGAAGCAGGCAGGAGAGGGCACCACTCACCAAATTATTTGTAGCCAAATGACTGAGGTATGAAGATACCTGAGAAAAAGTATATTTTGGTTAAACTCAGCTATCATACGTGGATTCTTCCAGAAACTACACCTTATGAAAATAGACTGTTAAGTGTGTGTGTAACATCTGACACTCTTGCCCCAGGCTCTAAGGAAATAACTGTTGCTTCTGTTTCTGCAGTTGGGCCTCAAGCCCAGGGTGAGGATGTCTCCTTCCTAGGCTGCCCATCTCTGCTATTTCTCCCAGGCCCTGCTGCAGACCTTCTGTATCCTCTCCTTGGGTATCCAGTGTCTGGGACTGAGCCCTAGAGTGAACAGGCGGTTCTGGGAATCAGGAGATGCTCAGGAGCCAGGCTGCTGGTCTGGAAGCAGATCTTCCACTTCTAGCGAATGTCTTGCTCATGTTGCTTGTTGAGTGTTTACTCCTGGCTGCTGTCGGAGCCCCCCCTCGCCTTCCCTCCCTGGGTCTCACTGATTGGCACAGCACTAGAGCGCGAGGACCACCATTTCAGTACAAGGCCCAAGGCTTTGTTTGTGAACCTTGAACACTTCCCTTGGTCTTTCCCATCCGTGCCTGGCATACCAGGAGTTGTACTCTTTCTTTTGTTCTCTCCAAAGTCAGGTCCTGTAGGGCTTAATCTCTTTTTGCTGGTGGAGCTCTGAGCAGCAAAGCAAATGCACCAGAACATCCTGGCCACAGTGGGTGGAGGGCCAGGCATGTTGGTGCATACTCTGGGGCTGGCATGGGTCTTGGGGAAGGTTGGCATGAACAATAGATGGTGGCACCGGCAGTCCTGTTTGTTCTTTAGCCTCTGGCAAAGCCTGAGCAGATTGGAATCCTGTCCCAAGGAACACAGCTGCTTCCTCCTGAGCCGGCTTGCCCAGCCAGCAGTGCACCTCAGAGTGGCACACTGTGGGCAGGAGGACATGGCCCTGAGAGCTCCTTCTCTCCTCTGCTCCCCTAGTTACTCCATTACTGCTCCCCTTCTTCCCACACCCCCAGTGAACATGATAGCACGGTTGTCTAAGTGAAGTGTAAATGCCATGTAAACATATGGCTTAATGGTAAATATTTAAGCATTTTTAGACACTTGATTCTCTTTCATGGCCAGAGTTTCTAAGAGGAGTGCAGTTAAACTCTGATTGTGACATTGGAAAGGATTTGGGGCATGAGGAGGCAGGTGGAGTAGATGCGGAGTGTGACCCACTTGAGAGCCCTTGTCGGCAGCACTCAGGGAGTCCTGGCAACTGTGATGGGACCTGGCAGCCTGTTACTGCCTCTCTTGCCCTTCTGCATTTTGAAAGACTGCAGAGCATTCCACCAGCTGTCATGAGGAGCACCTGAGTTGTCACTGTCACTGAGATTGTGGGAGAAAATCGGGTCATACTTTTCTGTGTTGTCACTGTTACCCATTGATCCTGTAGCCGCCATCTGGGTATATATGCGTGGTGATCAAGTTAGAGGCTGCTTTCAGCTTCAAAGGGAACATGTAGTTGCATTTCGAGTTTCTAAGATGAAGGTTTTAAAAGATGTGGCCAAGCTTGTCAAAACACTTAACTGTAGAAACAGCTAAGGTTCCAAGTACACTAGCAAGGAGCTGGCTGGGCACTTCTTGCCAGGCTTGGTTGAGGGATCTTGATTACAAGAGGGTCCCATAGAGAGTGAAACCAGCAGGGAGGTGGCACAAATGAGAGGTATGGGCAGCCCTAAGATTCTTCTGAATACAAGGCATTTAAGGGTCTGGTTTAGCAGGCAGTTTATTCTCTAAAACCGGGATTGGGAAGAATGATGTGCCTTGGAAAGAGCTAGATGCTTAATATTTTTGCTTTCATTTTGTTGCTAGAAGGAAAGAAGGAAGTGTGTAGAGCATGTGAGGGTAGTGTACTGGGACTGAAGATGCGGAAACATCTGAGGAGTGACTTGTCTGGGCAGGTTTGGTCCTCCTCTGGGTGTTTTCAGATATTTATGCTCTTTAAGTTCACCGGAGTTCACTGGAATGCCCCCTTCTGCAGGAGCAGCCTGATTTAGCAACGTGTGCAGGAGGTGTTAATGGAAACTCAAGTGTGTATGGTCTGGAAAGGTGGCTGTTCACCTCTCTCAGTAGACACAGACCACAGTCAGCCCGTCCACAGTGCAGTGCTGCTTCTCCACCCAGAGGTCACTTCCGTTCACCCAGCACTGCTGCTGTAGTACAAGGCTGCAGTCAGGGTGACACACTGTCAGGCAGTCCCCAAGTATGTGCTCATCAGACCTGACTCCAGCCTTCAGTGCTCAAGTCACTGACCTGGAGGGAGTGTGCTAAGTGGCCAAGGCCCTGTCTGAAGGCAAACTCCATCATAGAGAACTTTCCTCTCTCTCCCTCTCCCCCCCTCTTTCCCCTCTGTCTCCCTGTTTCCCTCTCTCTCTTTCTCTCAGCTTTGGGTCCCAGGCTGAGACTGACCTGTGCTTTGCTCCCTGTCTCTGTATTTGCTCTGCCTTCCTCCAGGCCTCCTTGGCAAAATGGAGAACTGTGGACAGGGTGGAGTGAACGAGATGGAGAGGTGAGCACCAGACTGGGAGTGATGCAGCTTGTGAGCACCTGGAAACTCAAATGAGCTGTGATCTGGAGCCTTCCCTGACAGCGTAAAGATATTTCACCCCTGTTAGCAGGTTGTGTCCTTGTCTATGTGCAGCAGCCAGCCGGCAGGCCTCAACACCAACTGTGTACAGCAGAATAAGAACAGCAGAGACTTCAGGCTTTCAGTAGAGGGGTAGACTGCAGACAGTAGACAACTTTAGATCAGAGGGTCAAAGGCATGGCCAAAGGAAGAAGGGTCTGGATTTCTGACGATATTTTCAAAGTGGCCTATGTTTTCATCATGCCCACATTCCAACTAGAAATAATTAGGTTTCAGAAGCACAGCCAAGGAGCTAGGTGCTTCTGACATAGTCCAAGAAGGCCTTGAATATAAAGGGTCTCAGAGAAGAGAGGCTGTGGGTTGGTCCAGAGTCCTGGGTTACTTATTTTTTAGTCTACATCTCAGATGTCTGAGTAGAAAGTTTTTCCTGGTAAATTTTCTAGGTGGCAATACTAAGATAGGAACTAGGTGGAGATGGTTTTAATAAACTGGAGAAGTGCTCAGAATAAAGTTCACTAAGGAAAATGCAGAATTAGATCACCAGTTATGAAGAGAGACTAAAAATGTGCAAATGTAACCTAAAGATTTTGTGTTGGGGATGAGGCAGACATTCTTTGGCAGGGCAGAGCTGTGGTAAATGTGAACTCACAATAGAGGGGCTGTTAGATCCTTTACGATTTCCATTGGTCAGATCCTTGCTAGATTACCCTTCACCCCCAAATATTCAGGGTGATAGAACTATGGGTAGACTTGGAGACTGACCCATAGGCAAAGAAATTTGAAAACTGAACTTGTAGAGAATAACTTAGAATTCAAAATTACTTTTTCATATCTTCACTGGGGATGTATGGCGTTCCAGCCAAATTTGGTTAGATACAAGGAGACTTTAGATGAGAATCATTAGATGGTAGAATGAGTTACTGCTATATGTTAATGAGTTTTCCACAGTAGGCTGTGTTTTAGTTGTATTAGGATGGACAGATTAAGTCCATCTCATTAGTATGTTTTAGATGTATTTCTCAGTTCTAGTTGATGGTTGGATGGTGGAATTGATGATCAACCAGGGTTCTTGTAACCTAGAGATTGCCTAAGCCTCTGGCTGCAGACATCCGTGTCGTCCTTTCACATCTCTGAGGTGCTCTCTATGCCCAGAACTGCACCAGCTCCCTAGGCCTGTGTGTGACCATCTTTGGCAAGTGAGCTAGCTGGGGCCCTGCAGATGTGTTGACCTAATCCAATTTTACCTCTTTGTTCTCTTCTCTGCAGTATGAGTTTAAAGCCAAAAACATCAAGAAGAAGAAAGTGAGCATTATGGTTTCAGTGGATGGAGTGAAAGTGATTCTGAAGAAGAAGAAAAAGGTAAGTGCTCTGAACCTGAAATTGTGTGAAGAGGGAAGTGGGAAAGTCAGGCATGGGGTGCCTTTTCCTTCTGGAACATTCTCTAGACTGGTTCCTTACCTGGTGAGATTTTCTGTTTTGGTCACCAACAGTGTTGACAGGTACAGCTGGAGCAGATGGTGAGGCAGGGGCATATGGCCTGGTTAGACAATTGCTCAGCCCTAGCTTCCCACGAATGGCTCATCTCCCATCATCCTCATGTTCTTCTTCATTTTGACACCTTTACCTTTGAGTCTTGACCATGGGAAATACTTCAAGTGATACACGTCAAGCACCTCAATCTGAAATCTAGAATATTCCCAAATCTGTAACTGTTGGGGTATCATGTTGTCTCTCAAAACAGTTCAGGTTTTGGAGAATCTCAGTGATCCTCAAGTGAACTATACAAATATTAGAGGCAAATGACATGAGTTGGCAAATAATTAGAGGGTTCTGGGTGGGCAAATGGGGCAAGTTGGCTGGTTACATGACAGGAATGCTCCCTGAGCTCAGCTCCCTGACAACAGATAGCCCCGTTGTGCTCACGGTGGCCTTGCTGAGCAAATGCTCTTCCCGGGTTCTGACTGCTGTCCCACCTCAGAGCACACGCACTACAGACTGATATGATCACAATTTACTTTCAGTTAGATAACTAAGGCCTGCTGTTCTGGGAGTTATTCCATCTCTTCCAAATAACCTAGTATTCCTCTGATGTCATCCACTATGGAATGACTTCATGGATTTGCTCTAGGGAACAATCTTTTTATCCATCTCCGTCTCTCCTATGCACACCATACATGGTGGTCTCCCTGTTCCACATGTGAGAAACAGGTCAGATGACTCAGGCAGCAGAATGCTGAGGTGACACCTGGAGAAGAAGCTGCCCCCACCCCCCTGTACATGAAAGCTAAGGTGAAGTGGCATCTTCCTGAAGGAGGCCAGGGATTTATTTTGTGGCTCACTTTGAAATTCTATGGTGGGGAAATCTCCAGTGTTCACCCTGTTGCTGAACCAGGATGGAGGTGACCCAGCAGGTTTTTGCTGGGCCAGGTTGGGAAAGAGGAGCCTCCAGTTTTGCTTCCTCCACGCACGTTTGGTGTCCATGTCAGGGCTGTGGCTGTGATTTGGATAATGCCTTTAATCACAGTGTGCATTTTCTACTGCCTCTGCCAGATGAATGCATATTAGTAGCAATCAGCCTTTTTGTCATTATGTTCCCATGTGACAGTCCTCTGGTATCTGAGTGTGTTCCCACCACACTCACACATGCTTTCTCTCTTTCTCTGTGTGCAGAGTTGGGAATGAGAGTAGGCAAGCCATAGTGTAATTGTACAATTTTCTCCCAGGCACTGGAATAGGCAGCAAATGTCACTACTGGAATCATGATTAGGTTAAGTGATGACACTCTTGCCAGCTTGTCATGGGTGTAGCAACAATCTTGGCTCATAATCATCCTTAAGGCTGTGGTACCATAGACAGCCTGACATTCCCTACTGTGCTGGCACGACCGATTGGGGAAATGTGGACTAGTCTTCAGATAGCTGGTTTTCACTGGGTCAGTGTGATGTGCTGGGAGGACCCCTTGGCTCAGATGAGAAGACCCACTCCAGCCTGTATCCTCTGAGCAGGTTATTTTGCCTCCCTGAGTTTTGCCTATAAATGAAGGTTTGGATTGGGTGATCATTTTAACTTCTAGTTCACATTACTTTAAACCAGCTCTAGAACTGCGCTTTTTAATGCATTGTATACATCTAAGTTACTTTATGTAGTCAGGTCTTTGGGAACCTACTGGGATATAGAGAAAGACTCCAGAGGTTGAGCTGGTTGCTGTTTTATTCTCTTCCAATCTTCTAGGCTAGGAGGGGACCCTCTGAGGTCACACTTCCCAAAGCTGCCACCTGGCTTCTCTCTTCATGCTATCTATCAGTATTCCCTGGGGGTTTGTTTTCTTAATGAGGAGAGAAGTGTGTTTGTGGGGAGCCGCTGCCCTCTGAGGCAGGGACCATCTTTGTGAGCCTTTTTTGTAAGGGCTTCACCACACATCTGGTAGATGTAGAATGTCTTCAGGGGTTGTGGCTATTGGCAGCTGGATGAATGATCTTTATTTGTGTGTGATTATGTCATTAAATACTATTTAGTATTCAGCAGCAATGTATTTGTTACTTTGAATGATCACATGCTCCTCCCTTTTTTTTTCTCTTGTCAATCTGTCAGTTTAACAAACAAGAATCAGAGCCTTTCCCATGCAGAGAAAGGCTTCAACAGACATTAGATAGAAGTAGAAGGGCTTGCTCAGGTGATTCTGATCTTCAGGTGCATACTACTAATCCTTGCAGTAGCCAGATATATTATAATCATCTCATTGAGATATAAAAACCATCGTTTTTGGTTATATTAACAAGTATCTAAAAATGTTCTCTTCTTGACCTGATGCCATCATATAATGAATCACAAATTCCTTCCGAATGTGTAGCGAGACCCATTTACTAAGATAATTAGCTCTGCTCTGATAGGTCTCAATCAGAGCACTTTGTTCAACTGCCAAGTATAGGCCCAAGTGGTTATCTTCTCTGTGTACACAGTAATGATCATTACAATTCTGGAATCATACCATAGCACCATTTGCTAGGGTGTGGAGTCCTGAATAAGAAAGATTAGTCTTGAGCTTCGTTCAGGGCTTTTTCTACTAAAGGGTCTCATAAACCAGCAACTGTTGGAATCCCCTAAGACAATGGTGGCAAATCTATGTCACGCGTGCTGCAGCGGGCTGTTTGTATCACTGGAAGCCCTAAAACATCAGCCACCACTGCCTCATGATGATATTCTACAAAGACTGTTTCCTAGGATGTGTGTAGGAGATATATGTGAGTATTAGATATGGACCCTTTCTAGCAAAATTATTATTATTATTATTATTATTATTATTATTATTATTATTTTGATACTGGGGATCAAACTTAGGACCTTGTATTTTCAAGGCAGGTGGCAGAACCACTGAGCTAAATCCCCGGCCCCAAAATTAATTATTTCAGTGGAACCTTATATGTACACTGGGCTATTATATGTGAGTATTAGATATGGACCCTTTCTAGCAAAATTATTATTATTATTATTATTATTATTATTATTATTATTATTTTGATACTGGGGATCAAACTTAGGACCTTGTATTTTCAAGGCAGGTGGCAGAACCACTGAGCTAAATCCCCGGCCCCAAAATTAATTATTTCAGTGGAACCTTATATGTACACTGGGCTATTACAGCTCTTAGAAAATTGCATTCAAGTTTTTCTTCATTTTGGTTTTGTTTTGGTGCTGGAGATTGAACCCAGAGCTTCAGGCATGCTAATAAACACATGCAATATCACTGAACTGTGTCCTCAGCCTAGCATTAGCATCATTTATCTCTTTCTCCCATAGCTTGTGAGCTTTTAGGGGAGAAGGAGCATGTCCTCTCTGTTTATATTTATCTGTTGGGAAGGTGGAAGGAGAGAAGGAACAAACTGATGGAAGCAGTTACACTAAGGAGAATAGTTATAATAGCTGGCACTGATATTGAGCACCTACCGTTTTCTAGCTTTGTTTGATGCACTATATACTTACTAAATCCTTATACATCCCACAAAGTAGATATAATTCTTAGGCTTACTTTGTGAAAGAAGACTGAACAACTTGCCCAAAATTTCAAGTCCCGTCAGTGGTGAAGTCAAGGCAAATTAGGGTTCAAACCAGGTCTATTTGCTCAAATCCCAGTCAGGTTCTATCTGTTATTATGTTGCTCTGTGTGTGTGTGTGTGTGTGTGTGTGTGTGTGCGCATGTGTGTGTGCGCATGTGCACTATTCTCTTAACTCCTTAAGATAAATTCTACACTATAGAAAATGTCTCATTAATAAATCCAGGATCTGTATTTTCTAACTTACACTCTATTGCAGGAGACTATTCTCTCACCCAGGCAATACGGTTAGTTACTATGGAATCACAGAGCTCAAGTCTAACTGAGCAAGTAAAAGAAGCACTCAGGATTATAGAGCCAGAATTTAGGAAATGGAATTTAAGAAATGACCTGGTCTGAGCACTGAATTGATTGGATACAGGAACAGAAGATAAGAGTGGTACCATGTCTCTGCCTGGGTTACCTAGCTGGTTACTGATAGGGTCAAAGTGAATCTGCACCCTAAACTTAGTATAGTCTTTCCACCATGCTGTGCTGCTTGGCCCTCTTTATTTGCTGCTCGTTTTAAAGTGAACATATTCACAGCCGTGTGTATTCCATGTGAAATTCTTGGCACTTCAGTTTTGAAGTGTACTTTATTATATCCTTAAGTTATACCTGAAGGTAGGAGATAGCTTTATTCTTAGTATAATCCTCTTCTACCTAGAAGCATGGAGAACTTGTCAAGCTTAGTTTACATAACCTTTGCAAGGTTTTCTTATTTTTATTTTAAGGAAATCACCATTGCTGTCAGATGTGTGGATAATGCTGCATGGACAATGCTGCATGGATATTGGCCAAATTTGCAGACCATGAAACATACTTATTTTTGATGATTTGCATTAGGGTAATAAATAAATGTCAGTACAGATTCCTCCTCTACTTTTGGTTTCCTAGGGAAGGGCTTCAAAAAGCCATATCCATTTCCAGCTTCCGGAAGAAGGCAGGAGCACTGTGGTCATTATTCCAGACTCTCTGTTCTTGAGTTGGTGCTGTTCCAGGCAAACCTACCTGAGCCAGTTCCCACATAATATTCTCTGCCAGCACGTTTGAGAATTACAGAATGTCTGTGAATTTCCACGGAGAACTTGACATCTCCCCTTAATAGATGAAGGAAAGGGAAGGTCCTAGGATAGTGGCAACAAATCTTTTTGAGCTTTCCATGATAACCAGCTGGCTGAGGTATGCATGTGGTAGGTTCACCACCACTGTCCTATAACAAGGATGTGCTTACCACATTTAGAGGGCTTACAAAAATGCATACAGCAA